GAATGAACCAACACCATTGTATGATCAAATAAATGTCACTTATTAGTGAAGAGTGTCAAAAAAAATGTTTACTTAATATTAAAGAGGCATTTGTACATACACTTTTGTAATTAAATGCACTTAGCAGTTTTTTGTCTAAATAAAACTACTCATTAAATCTCTATTGTGGATCAAGAATGCAGCACTGAATGATACAGTCTGTGCCTTCAGAGTCGTCAGGCTAGTGGCGCCTACCCTGTGAGCAGTGAGCTTTGTGTTCCGTCTGTGCTGCCAGCAGGCCCGGATGCTGTGAGTGCGCATAGGAAGGCCTGCTGGCCCCTTGGAGGTTCGCAGCCAAGGGGGCTCCCCCTTTGCAGATGAGGAGAAATGTACTTTAGAAAGGGTGGTACATTCACATCTGAGCTAAAATAGTTTGAGAAGAAATGGGTGAGAGAGAGGTAAGACCACCTCATATGAAGAGATCTTAGATCCTCTCCTGCAGACTGATGGGAGCCACTCAGGGCTTAGTGGATGTCTTGGTCAGAATGGTTTGTTTTGGGTAAGGCCACCTGCTGTGACGGCAGACCCAGGGGTAGACTGGGTCCTAAGAAGGCTGCAGGCAAGGTATAGGAGACTCTTCAGCCATTTAGGCAAGAAATGAGAAAAATATAAGGTGTAACTGGTAGGAAGCAGATTTAAAGGGTAGATTTACTATAACTCAGACAACCAAAATGGAGATGAAAACGAAGAGAGGCCAGTTGTGCAAGTCCAGGCCCCTGGTGTCAAGAAAACAGAAAAAGCAGCTTAGATTCAGAAGAAAGGTGGTAAGAAGGTAAATTGTTTTATTTCCCTATGTGAGGAAACAGGATATTCCTGCTTACAGGATCCAAAGTGCGAGAGCAGGAAGTGAAGGAAGCTGTTTTCAGCTGTTGGACCTGTTCTGTCATCTGTGACGTTACAGTTCTGTAGGAAGTGGAAGGGGCTTGGTGGAAACTTGTGAAGATTTCCTGTAACATGGAGTTCAGTGGGAAAGGGAGTTATATTGGAGAAGGGAATGTTGCTAGACGCCAGCTGAGATTGTTGGAGGCCTACTCATTGCAAAACTGCTTCCAGTTTGTAATCAGCTGCTCATTTACATGAGAGCACCTCATCAGCAATCTGGTGAGCTTTGTATTTTGGTGAAGGAGGTGACAGGAGACTTCAGTTAATTGACATGTTTATACTGTCTCTCTCTTGTACATGATCTGTATCACTATTGGCATCATTTCTTTGAAAAGAATCCACCCACTGAGGAAATCTGTGGCTGCTTTAGTGACAGTGATTTCCAGAAGGCATAATACAGGCCAAAATAGCTCGCAGTTACTCCTTTTTATCATTTCTAGGCCAGCCTAGAAGTCAGCAACTTTGTGTTTTTCTCATGCTGTTACTAGGTTGTCCTCTCAGAAGACTTCTCTTCTGTCTTCACGATTCGCAGCTAGTGCTGCACATACCAGCGTTCCCAGAGTCTTCCTGCTAATGGGACATAGCTCACTGCAGTCTGTGTAATTCAGCTGAGGAATCTTTGTAAAACCCACGAGGATGTGAAGTGTGATGAGCACGTGTACTGGAGCATATTTATTCTGTGTCTGACAGCTCTGTGACTCCAGGCACCTAGCTGAGCCTCTTCACCCTTAAGTGTCTCATCTACTGAAATACAGATATGTAACACCTATCCCATAGCATCATTATGTTGATTACATGAGATAAGATTGTCTACCATTTAATTGCATATCGTGGTACAAATATAAGCTGCCCAGTGTGAATCGTTCATGTCTCTTCTACTGTTCTCTGTGCCCTCCCAGCCCTCTACCCTACCTTCTGCTTTCACCCATTTCTACAGTTTCTCTTCTTCACCCTATGAATTGATGAATCATACAGTACATTTTATTTTTACTTATTTATTTATTTTAAATTTTTTATTAAGGTCTGATTGATATACACTCTTATGAAGGTTTCAGATGAAAAAACAATGTGGTTGCTACATTTACCCATATTATCAAGTCCCCACCCACACCCCAATGCAGTCACTGTCCATCAGTGTAGTAAGATGCCACAGATCCACTATGTGCTTTCTCTGTGCTACACTGTTCCCCCCGTGATCCTCCACACCATGTGTACTAAACATAACACCCCTCAGTCCCCTTCTCCCTCCCTCTCCACCTGCCCTCCCACACCCCTCCCCTTTGGTAACCACTGGTTCATTCTTGGAGTCTCTGAGTCTGCTGTCATTTTGTTCCATCAGTTTTGCTTTGTTGTTATGCTCCACAAATGAGGGAAATCATTTGGCACTTGTCTTTCTCCGCCTGGCTTATTTCACTGAGCGTAATGTCCTCCAACTCCATCCATGTTGTTGCAAATGGTAGGATTTGTTTTCTTCTTATGGCCAAATAGTATTCCATTGTGTATATGTACCACATCTTCCTTATCCATTCATCTACTGATGGACACTTAGGGTGCTTCCATATCTTGGCTATTGTAAATAGTGCTGCGATAAACATAGGGGTGCATATGTCTTTTTGAATCTGAGAAGTTGTATTCTTTGGGTAAATTCCGAAGAGTGGGATTCTGGGATCATATAGTATTTCTATTTTTAGTTTTTTGAGGAACCTCCGTACTGCTTTCCACAATGGTTGAACTAGCTTACATTCCCACCAGCAGTGTAGGAGGGTTCCCCTTTCTCTGCACTCTTGCCAACATTTGTTCTTCTTAGTCTTTTACATGCTGGCCATCCTTACTGGTGTGAGGTGGTATCTCATTGTGGTTTTAATTTGCATTTCCCTGATGATTAGTGATGTGGAGCATCTTTTCATATGTCTGTTGGCCATCTGATTTTCTTCTTTGGAGAACTGTCTTTTCATATCCTCTGTCCATTTGTTAATCGGGTTATTTGCTTTTTGGGTGTTGAGGCGTGTAAGTTCTTTATATATTTTGGATGTTAGCCCCTTGTCGGATATGTCATTTACAAATATATTCTCCCATACTGTAGGATGCCTTTTTGTTTTGTTGATGATGTCCTTTGCCATTCATATAGTACATTTTAGAAAGTACAGAAAATAT